ATATTTGAAAATATATTTTATTTTGTGCATGGTTTCTGAAAAAAATGAATCGTCTCTCACCGCTGGGGTATGATCCCAGAACCTTCCTATTGCCGGTAGGATGCTCTACCAATTGAGCTACAGAGAGATCCGATATCATTAATTTCAGAAACCAAGCACACGACTTTTCAACGCATAGTACAAATTTTATTGTAATATCATAAGATGGTAAATGGGTTTTTTCCGTGATAATAATTATTATAAGATGGTAAGGTGTCAATTTAGCGGATATATATTTATTTCGCTTATCATCGATAAGACAGAAATCAATATTTCAAAATTAATATTTCATTAATATTTGAAAATATATTTTATTTTGTGCAAAAAAAAATAAAGTAAAATAAAATAAAGTATTAATTTTGAAATATTGATTTCTGTCTTATCGATGATAAGCGAAATAAATATATATCCGCTAAATTGACACCTTACCATCTTATAATAATTATTATCACGGAAAAAACCCACTTACCATCTTATGATATTACAATAAAATTTGTACTATGCGTTGAAAAGTCGTGTGCTTGGTTTCTGAAATTAATGATATCGGATCTCTCTGTAGCTCAATTGGTAGAGCATCCTACCGGCAATAGGAAGGTTCTGGGATCATACCCCAGCGGTGAGAGACGATTCATTTTTTTCAGAAACCATGCACAAAATAAAATATATTTTCAAATATTAATGAAGTATTAATTTTGAAATATTGATTTCTGTCTTATCGATGATAAGCGAAATAAATATATATCCGCTAAATTGACACCTTACCATCTTATAATAATTATTATCACGGAAAAAACCCATTTACCATCTTATGAAATAAAAATTATTTTCTAAAAAGTGCAAAAATCCTATGTTAATTAAATGGGAAAAGTATTGTTATTTAGGCAGGGTTAAACGGCATTGTAAAATTTTTTTCTAGTTTCTAGAATTGTTTTTAGGTCAAAAAGAAACTGATTTTTAGCTTTGAATAATATTTATTTAAATAAATTCATTTATTTTAATAATCGAAAAAGTTTTGCTAAATTTCTAATTTTTGATCACATTGTTTAAAAAACGTTTTTTAGAAGTAAAATATATGATTCATTAGTAATATCTCTTAAATTAAAAAAACCAATTTTTTTCAATGTTTACTATATTTACACATCATTTTGAAACTTCGCGCGTTTATCCCAATCAGTTCCTTTCGTTACGCCGTTCAGAATATGATCGTAGTCAATTCTAGTCGGCTACAAGTATCAACCAATACATTGACAGGTCTCACAGTTCGCATATTTATCATTAATAATTGAACAATTTACGATTTAATTTAACTTAAATAATGGATAAATCGACTATAGAATAGTTAATTTATTAATTATAAGAGCTTTTTCTAATATTTTTAGTTTTTTTGATGAACTTTTTTCCACTATTTAAAGTCTAACCACCTATGTAAATTTATGTTTATCGAATCTGTCAGGAATTTCAAGTAATTAGGGTAATGTCACATTGAGTGGACCACCTGAGTTTTTAAGTTATCTGACAGAGGAAACGTGAAATAAATAAAACGAATAGCAGCACCGCACCTAGAAACCGTAAGAAATTATGTTCCGCGATAATCATATACGTTATCGTTTCATGTGACGCATTTTTAAGAACACAAACCAAAAAAGAAGTCGCTCCTACAATGAGTAAAGTGATTCAGAAGTGTAAAAGTAGTGTAAAATTTAAGTTTTAAAAGGTAACTTATTTTTTTCCTAATACTTTGAACATTGAAATTGATTGTCTTAGTTTCATTAAGTGATGATTTTGACTCAAAAAAAAATTTTGGTGTCTGCCATAAAAAGTTGCATGTCACCATGAGTGGACCACAGTTTATAACCATGAGTGGACTGCCTGTTTTTTATATTTTTAATGTCAGTTTAACATTTTTATGGAAATAAATTGACAATAATTTGGTTTGAAACTGTTTTATTAATTTATTTCTTTATTAATTTTTTTGTGATTTTGATGTGATATGTGCCAAAATTATTGAAAATGGTTTCACTTGTAAACATTGCGACACAAACATGGTCTAAAGCTGCATAAGCATAAATTTTGTTTCAATATATCAGAAATATTAAATACATTAAAGAATTTAGAATAACTTTTACATTTTTTTAAGAGTGGTCCACTCAAGGTTACAATTTTTTCATTCCTTAAAAATAAGCTATTTTTTTAAAGTCAATTGTTTTTTCCAAATAAAAATAAAACAAAGCTATTATGGTGTAAACACTTACCTAGGGATCTGAACTAAAGCATGGAATAGAAACCTCCGATTAATTTGCTGTCATAAAGAATTTTTTAGAAAAAAAGTTTAGGCGGTCCACTCAAGGTGACATTACCCTATTTATTATTTAGAGCTTTATTAATTACAATTTTTGATTAAATCGAATCTCTAAATATCCATTTTACATTATCAATACTTCCTTTTGCTATATAACACTTTCTAAATAGTTTTTTTCAACATGTAGCTGAAGTATGAGACGTCTCGTGAGACGGTAGGTTCCGACTAGAGCGCCGCGCTAAGGTACTATCCATAGGCGCCGCCACAAATACGTAACTCAATAGGATCGAACGGATAGCACAAAAATTAACAAAACAAACAAATTATATGCAAACCACAACATTTTATAATTATTCCAAATAGTTTATTTACTATAATAGAAAAAAACAAAATTAAAAAAAAAAGAATTGATAAGAAACAAAGAGGTAACATAACTTTTAGAGAAATAGTAAAAAAAATTTAAAATAAGTAAAAATTTGTACCAAAGTTTAATCAAATGTTAGAACATATTAATTTCTATATTAATAAAAATCGTTTCTTATTAAATTAAAAAAAAAATTTATTTTAATTTAATAATCTGAAAAATTTAAATTTAAAATTTAATTCAAACTAATTATAGAAAATGTTAGGTCATTTTATTATTTAAAATAGTTTCTCATAACAATAGAAATAAGAAACAATTTTTCATTTTTAAAAATCGGTCGGGGAGAAGGGAGAAAAATTAATTTTTCGGCCTTCGCGCAAAGAAAATGGAAAAATATATAAGTTTGGCGGTAAAATAAAATTAATTGTAGAAAAATGTTAAGTAATTTTATTTTTAAAAATAGTTTCTCATAACAATAGAAATAAGAAACAATTTTTCGTTTTTAAAAATCGGTCGGGGAGAAGGGGGAAAAATTAATTTTTCGGACTCCGCGCAAAGAAAATGGAAAAAAATATAAGTTTGGCGGTAAAATAAAATTAATTGTAGAAAAATGTTAACTAATTTTATTTTTAAAAATAATTTCTTATAACAATAGAAATAAGAAACAATTTTTTATTTTCAAAAATCGGTCGGGGAAAAGGTGGAAAAATTAATTTTTCGGCCTTCGCGCAAAGAAAATGGAAAAATATATAAGTTTGGCGGTAAAATAAAAGTAATTGTAGAAAAATGTTAACTAATTTTATTTTTAAAAATAATTTCTTATAACAATAGAAATAAGAAACAATTTTTTATTTTCAAAAATCGGTCGGGGAAAAGGTGGAAAAATTAATTTTTCGGCCTTCGCGCAAAGAAAATGGAAAAATATATAAGTTTGGCGGTAAAATAAAATTAATTGTAGAAAAATGTTAACTAATTTTATTTTTAAAAATAATTTCTTATAACAATAGAAATAAGAAACAATTTTTTATTTTCAAAAATCGGTCGGGGAAAAGGTGGAAAAATTAATTTTTCGGCCTTCGCGCAAAGAAAATGGAAAAATATATAAGTTTGGCGGTAAAATAAAATTAATTGTAGAAAAATGTTAAGTAATTTTATTTTTAAAAATAATTTCTCATAACAATAGAAATAAGAAACAATTTTTCATTTTTTAAAATCGGTCGGGGAGAAGGGGGAAAAATTAATTTTTTAGCCTTCGCGCAGAAAATAATGGAAAAAAATATAAGTTTGGCGGCAAAATAAAATTAATTGTAGAAAAATGTTAAGTAATTTTATTATTGAAAATAGTTTCTCATAACAATAGAAATAAGAAACAATTTTTTATTTTCAAAAATCGGTCGGGGAGAAGGGGGAAAAATTAATTTTTCGGACTCCGCGCAAAGAAAATGGAAAAATATATAAGTTTGGCGGTAAAATAAAAGTAATTGTAGAAAAATGTTAACTAATTTTATTTTTAAAAATAATTTCTTATAACAATAGAAATAAGAAACAATTTTTTATTTTCAAAAATCGGTCGGGGAAAAGGTGGAAAAATTAATTTTTCGGACTCCGCGCAAAGAAAATGGAAAAAAATATAAGTTTGGCGGTAAAATAAAATTAATTGTAGAAAAATGTTAACTAATTTTATTATTGAAAATAGTTTCTCATAACAATAGAAATAAGAAACAATTTTTTATTTTCAAAAATCGGTCGGGGAGAAGGGGGAAAAATTAATTTTTCGGACTCCGCGCAAAGAAAATGGAAAAATATATAAGTTTGGCGGTAAAATAAAATTAATTGTAGAAAAATGTTATGTAATTTTATTTTTAAAAACAATTTCTGATAACAATAGAAATAAGAAACAATTTTTCATTTTTTAAAATCGGTCGGGGAGAAGGGGGAAAAATTAATTTTTTAGCCTTCGCGCAGAAAATAATGGAAAAAAATATAAGTTTGGCGGCAAAATAAAATTAATTGTAGAAAAATGTTAAGTAATTTTATTATTGAAAATAGTTTCTCATAACAATAGAAATAAGAAACAATTTTTCGTTTTTAAAAATCGGTCGGGGAGAAGAGGGAAAAATTAATTTTTTGGACTCCGCGCAGAAAATAATGGAAAAAACAGAAAAAATTTTGACGGTAAAATTTTCCGTCCTTAAGGGGATGTCAAAGTCGATTGGATTTTTGCATTGAGCTTCAATGGGAAAATCGCATCGACTTTGACATCCCCTTAAGACACAAATGTTGGTAAGAAATATAAGTTTGATACAATATTTAATATCTTTAGGTGATATGTATTTTCGTAATAGAATAGAAATAAATAACAGTATTGGTAATGTTTAAGGCAATTAGTAGAAATTGGGAGAAGTGTCAGTTGTTTGGAATAATTTACAGAAGTACGGGAAATTTACAAGGAATAAGACAGAATTAATAAAAAAAATTGAAATTTTATTGGTTATAATTTTATACTTTTAGCTTACACAAGTTTTTAACATTTTATTAGATTATGGTATTAGATACTGATGGATTATTTCTTTAAATTATTATTGTAAATCCCTCATTGAATATGCTGCTTGTTGTAGATAATGTTCTTCCTTCACACTTTCTCCAGACTTAGGACTGGCTGTGGTCTCGAAACGTAATATTATCAGCTGCTCCATTCCTTTTTATTATTTATCTGCTTGTTGTCACTGTAAACAATTTAAATTTTTTCTAATAAATCGTTAAAGATAATGGTTTTTGGTAGATTCTTCTATATATAATTGACTGGTAGGATCGAGGATACAACGCTACGTTTAATCACACTCGCTAATAACAGTCAGACATAGCACAGAACGGCCAAAAGACGGTGACTGTAATTTGGATTTTTTTAGCATTTGTAATCATGCGAAGTGTGGAGTCTTCGATTCAGCCAATCAATATTTTATTCGAAGTTTGATCTGCAAATACCGCTATCTTACATGAATCTTTCCTATTACGTTTTCGCGGCGGCACAGGTGTGTTTAAAGAATTTTCTTTATTAAAATAGTTTTTACATACATTTTTACATAATTACATAAATTTACATATTTACACAAAGGATAAATCTATTTCTAAAATTAAATAGAGTCTATGAAATGATATTTTTAAAATAATAAAATTTATATTAAATTATATGTAGATTTCGTTAGCTATTGTTTTATTGTTCTAACTAGAAAATAGGCAGCGGTTAATCATTATAGGCACTGAAATAAGTATAATCTGTAGAAGTTTCTATGCATATATAAAAAAAGTTTATGATGAAGAAAGAAAAAGATAGTAGGTATGTAATATTTATTATGAAATAAATATTTAAAAAATTTGAATTTTTCTGTCGGTGAAATTTAATGTCATATCAAATAATCATAAATATGAATTAGTCAAAGTTGACTTAGAAAATAGTACTGATTTCTTTATAACATTTGCTACTTAGCAATTTTTTTGACTTATTCTCAATCAAAAACAAACAATTTTTAGTAGTATACTACTTATTCCTTTGTTAAGATCTCTAATAAAGTTAAATTGTGTTATTTAAAATACTAGGCTATACAAACGATATAGAGATTTCCTTCTATAAAACGTTACTTTTTGTTTAAGAATTCGTCAAAACGCTTACTAATACAATTAGAATAAGAACGCATTTTATTTAATTAGTCAGGAGTGACTAATTTAGATTTATAAAAAGATATAAACATTTAGTAAAATCGTACTTGATGATGCATAACTATTTTTTAATTACATTGTTTGTAAGGTAAAGTCAATTTATGAACAAATGAAGACAAAAATAATTAAAAGTTTAATTTATATTATTAAGCTAATTAAAAATCAATAACTGTAATCAAAGTTCGTATTTCAATGCTTGTGGAAAAAGTATTCGATTTGCATTTTCTATTAATTAATATGTCTGTTAAATTGTCTAGGATAACGCATCCAACTTCGTGGACGTTGGCTGCAAAGTCCGCACTTCATTTCAACAGAGCTATCTTCCCATTCTGATATATTCTTTTTCTTTCCAGGAATACAAGAAACATGCGAAAATCTGCGACAAAAAGTACACATGACAAGGTCGTTAGGCTCTTCATCATTCACTATAAAACAGTAAATGCAAAAGGGTCTTATGTCATGTGAATTTTTTAACAGAATTTCTGCCACATGATTCCTGTAAGAATTAGCATTCCAGTTAACATTCATTTCAATTCCTTTGGAAATATTTGCTATGTAATACATAACAAAAACTCCGCAGTTATATGAATCATCTTGAAAAGGGCGGTTTTTTTCCCATCTTACTATTTTCCAATTAATCTTTTTTAATTCATGAAATGAACTGTTTTGGGGAGAAGCTTGAAGGAATCGTTGAAGTGCTTCCTTAACTCGAATTTCTTCTTGAGCTGCAAGTTTCATTCTTTTTTTAGTAATTTTAATTGGATCAATAACATTGAGCGTTTCTTCATCTACATTCAAAATGAGCAAACGCCAATGTGCTTTGAATAAATAAGGACACAAAATCGTACCAGTTATTGGTAATTCTGTGGAATACAAATATTCATTTGATTTAGCATATCGAATACTTCTGCCACTAAATATGAAACTAGTTCCGTAAGTCGTGAAGTAACTGTAGTTCTTAACGTCCTGCATCATCGTAATCGAAAAAGAGTCTATAACGTCTCCATCTATCCACGCGTTGCCTTTCAAAGTTTGGTATTGCTTTAGATACAAATGAATATCATATGCATGCGGTAAAACCGTAATGGATTCTGATGGCTTGTAGCATCCAAATGTTATTTCTCTATCTACTTTTGCATCTAAATAATAAGGAATATCAGGAAATAATCCATTACCGATTTCCATTTCATGCATAGAATTTTCACTTTGATCAAAAATAGAATTTCCCGTATTTGACCATGTTTCTGAAACTGTTTTTTTTTACAATGGAAACGATAGATTCTTGTTTCATTAATTTATGATCGAAGAATTCATCGTTTTTTACATTCATGTTTAATGGTAAGTTATTTGATTCCATTTCTTCATTTACAAAATTCATTTTCAAGTCTTTTACTGGTAATGAATCCGGAATATTCTTTTTTTGATCTTTAAACTTTCTGTAAGAAGGTTCAGGTTTTTTCGGTTTGCGAGATCTCTTTTTCTTTAGTACGACATTACTCCTACTGTTAAATTTGAACTGATCAAAGTAATTATTTCTTCTTCGCGGTTTAATTGATTTTTTCTTTTTGCACCAAGATTCATTTCCTAAAGGATTTAGTGGTTCCGGAATTAAACTATCATTCGTATCTGAATCCTTTATACCCTCAGGATACAAAGGTTTCGGCACTTTATGACTAATAAGTTGTGTGTTCTGTTTTTCCCGTTTTATTAATTGTTTAACTTGTTTTTTCGTTTTTCTTATAAAACGCGCCATTGAAAGATATGTCTGTCCTTTTAAAAGTACTTCTTTCATTACCCGAAAAAATGATTCTACATATGCATTACTTAATCTCGAAGCATTAGGTAATACATTTTTAATGATAATACCTGACCACATACATACAAAAGGCATAAAGTGCCGAGTTATACGTTCTGCTAACAGGGGATTATACATTTCATTAGAAACTTCTTCATTTCTACTAATTTCACGCATATGTGATTGAACTCTTTCCTCTATTTGATGGTAACGGTGATAAAAAGGAGAATTTATGGCAACGTCATCAGACGTTTCCTTAAAATTAAATGTTTTGATATCTTCTTCAGTGGGATGATCAAATTTACATTCGTTAAATCTTGCAAACTTGTCTATTTCACAAGAGGCAGTCATTTCCTCTGGAGATAACAATACTGTTAATAAACTTTCAAAAATTCGATCTAAATCTTCAATTGTTTTACATGTTACCATTAACCCCATAAAATTCATTACTATATCACGACCCAAAAACCCCGGAAAATGTTCATCTATAAGTCTCGCGACACGTTTCATGAAATGAGCACAACAAGTTTGCACGATAACGAGTTTCATTGGAAAGGGAATGTTTAAAGTTGCGCACTTATAACATATTTTTAAATAATTGTAAATATCGGTATCATTCCATTCTGACATTAAACTGTGTATATATGCCCATGTCCAATCAACGACAACAACTGCAAATGTAGGCCAATTATATCCTTCAAGTTCAACAAAAGCTCTATAGTGTTTCAAGAAAGTACTCATGGTCACTGTATCATGTTTAGACGATACCATTTCCGCTAATGGTATTACCGAATTGTCAAATTTAGCTACGAGTGCATAATACAATATTGATTTTAAATCATAATCTAAGGGACTTCGAACTGTACTACCAGTTGCATCATAATGTAATACTATCACTTTTCCTGGCTGTACAAGATGCAATTGTTGTCGCGTGTACATATGAGCATTTAAGGGATCGCTAACAGATCTTAGGTAAGGATCATTTTCTTCTGAATCTTTTTTTCGCTGCTGCATTAAATCTGACATATCATTAGATTGTAAAGTCAAGTCATATTTACAATTTTCATCTGAACTTGCTTTCTGGTAAGTAGGAAGCATTTTCAGATGCTGCATATTTCCATCTGCAGAAAATTCTTCGTTAGTATTTTCAGAAATATTTAATTGAAAATTGCGCGGTGATTGAAACTCAAGTTTAGATTTAACTTCAAGACGTTCTTTTCCTGCTAATGGATAGAATAATTTAGGACCATTATGAATTACTTCTTTACTTTTTGTGCTATATAAAAAAACAAAATCGTGTCGCAAAGGAATATCCATTTTAAATTTTTGTCCGTGGGAATTATATCTACATTTCGCGTACAAAACATAACTTTCTTTATTTTTTCTAAAACCATAAAAACGTAAAACGCAAGTTATTTTGCAAATTATAAGTAATGCATCTTTTAAACAATAACGAACTAAATTTTTATCAACTTCTCCATTTTCATCGTAAATTGAAGTATTTAATCTAAACTGACCGCGGTCTTCACAAAATCTAGCTTTCATCTTATTTGACATTGAAGGACGTTTAATTTCTGTATTGTTAAGATGATCGTGTTCTTGCATTTCAACATCAGATTCAGAAGAATCGTCACTGTCATATTCGTCAGAGTCGGTTCTAGTGTCAATATCATCTGTAGAATACTCAAAAACATTGTCCTTTAAACTTGAATCAATGTTACATTTTTCTGATTCTCCCCCAGTAGATAAATGTAACTTTGATTCAAGTAATTCATCTTTAATCAAATTTTTATTTTTCGAACAAAAAATTGAATATGGCTTTTTGTTTTTAACATCAAGTGAAAATGTAGAAGTAGATGATGAAATATGACTTGACTTTTCATTAAAAGTAGTATCATTAATATTATTCTGATAATGTACCTTAATTAATTTAGAGTTGTTAAGAGTAGGACTGCTTATACTAATTGCTTCTGCTGCATGTTGATCCATTTGGTTGGGTTCCTCGTCAGAATGGTTGGTTTCCTCATCAGTATGGTTGGGTTCCTCTTTAATGTGATTGGACTCCTCATTAGTATGGTTGGGTTCCTCTTTAATGTGATTGGACTCCTCATCAATATGGTTGGTTTCTTCATCAGTTTGGTTGGGTTCCTCGTCAGTATGGTTGGTTTCCTCATCAGTTTGGTTGGGTTCCTCGTCAGTATGGTTGGTTTCCTCATCAATATGGTTTGTTTCCTCTTTAATATGATTGGACTCCTCATCAAAGTGGTTGGGTTCCTTATCCGTTTGGCTGTCTTCCACATCCATCTTATTGGTGGTTTCTTGATCGATATGGTTAGGTTTCTCATTAATATGATTGGACTCGTCATCAGTTTGGCTGTCTTCCACATCCATCTTATTGTCTTCGTCATCCTTCTGTTGTAAATGTGTTGGCTTCTTTTCTTGCAATAATTCCTTAACCAAGTTACGAATATTTCCAGTATTTTTATTCCAAGCTCTGAGAAACATCATCCTTGTGGAATTTTTATCTGACTTTTTCAAATCATGGCATACCTGAAAACAGAGTTAAGTATAATGTCCTATATAACAATTTATTGAAATAATAATGCGCTAAAAAATTATTAAAATATTACAAACAGGCAAAGAACTAATACACCATTTTAAAGTATAAGTTCAGTAAAGAAAATTATCCAATATAACCCTTTTCATAGACCTTTTCATTGTAATTCATTTTCTTGTGTGCAGACGCTAAAAGTTTTAGCAATAACTAAAAAGGGAGCGTTTACAAATGATGTCACGTTTTTGAGGGTACGGGGGGGGGTCTCTGCTAAACGTGACACAATGTATTTTTATATGTGAAATTGAATGAAATTGAATGACAGGGGGGAGGGGTCTAAAATCCCGAAAAATTGCGTGACATCATTTGTGAACGCTCCCAAAAGCAAAACTAACAGATGATATTCCAGAAATTTCATTTGACATAAAACATTACATAAAAATCTTTTAAAACAAAAAGTTCAGTAGACATAAACTTGTTAACAGAAATCATTTAGCGTTATTTTTAAACGTAACTAATAAGATTTTATCAAGAAAATTATTGTACTAGGACAGGGAGCGTTCACAAATAATGTCACGCAATTTTTCTGAATTTCAGGCACCCCTGTCACGAAATTTTATGCAATTTCACATGTAAAAATACATTGTGTCACGTTTAGTAAAGACCCCCCCCCTTTCCCAAAAAACATGACATTATTTGTGAACGCTCCCACAGTTTAAAATTCGTATCTATTTTATATGTCAAATGAGTAATGAGAGTGTTAAATGAGTTAGATTTATATCGATTTAAATATCCGTGTAGTAAACGAAGTCCAGTTCTGACCTAGCGTTGGAACAGTATGTTTTTAATTATATTCTATATACTCTAATCAGTGAAAATGCACTGGACGAAGTGTGTGGCTTGACGTGAAGTAAACCTGAGACCTAGAGTGGGGGAGTTAAACTGTCTCTCTCTCTCTCTAACTGAGCTCCACTCTTGACAGAAGCTTACTTTACGTCACGCTACACAAGTAAGCGGCCTGGTGAAAACTCGTTCATATACACTGAGAAAAAGTTCTGGTTGGAATTACCAGAAAACCTGTTTTTAACTAAAATTTCGTGTTAAGTGTTAAGTGTCGCGCACTGAAAAAAATTTAATTAATTCAAATAACCGATTAATTGACTATTATCAAATAAATATGTACTTGAATCAAATAATATTTATTGGAGTCAATTAAATGGTATTTGAACCAACAATTTCAGTACTTGAAGCAAATACCATTTAATTGACTCCAATAAATATTATTTGATTCAATTAAATATTTAATTGATAATATTCAATTAATCGGTTGTTTGAATCAAATAAATTTTTTTTCCAGTGTGTTGAATATATCCTAACCACTCTCTAAATATGAATTAGTAAAAATGTTTACTAATTCGAATTAGTGACTGACTTTTTGCTTTTGAATTAGTAAATTTTGCTAACAAATAGTAATTTCTACTAATTTAATAGTAAAATTTACTAATGTAAGATCAAAAAGTCAGTCACCAATTCAAATTATTAAAAATTTTTACTAATTCAAATTTAGAGAGCTGAACCTTTTTTTCAGTTGGAGCTGTAAAGAGGAAAATGGGCCTGCGACATACTATACTGAGGTATATTCTTTTCTCTCATTTTTAATGTACGCAGGCGCAGAACGCGTCATAACAGTGATACATAAAAGGACTGAGAGAGAAAAGATACCTGAATAGTCTATCTCTAGGGTCGTTTTAAGCAGTGAAGCGCCTGTTCCAGTAGTACTTATATTATATTTCAGTGTATCATGCACAGATGGAGAGGGTAAAGATGAAATTGTTTCCGTAAAAAATATAATTTTAGAATTAATTGTAGATCCTATTACGGTACCAAAATTTGAGAAACTTCAATTTAAATTTTAAACAACACATCTCCTTTTGTTGAAAGTAAAAAATTGAAATCCACTAAATTTTGGTGCGGTAAAGGATTATGCAATTTTTACCAAACCGGTACAAAGGAACATTTACTAAACATTTGAAGTTTGTATCATCAAAATTGATTTTTTACGAGTATAAAAGTAAGAAAAATAACCTAAAAAATTAAAAATTTTGATTCTTTTTATGCATACACTTATTCAGGGTGGCCACATGTCAGTAAAGTCAGGGAAATGTCAGGAAAAATTTTTTTGTCAGGGCAATTAAAGAAGGTAAATGTCAGGAAAAAAAATTTTTTGGCAGTTAAGTCAGGGAAATGTCAGGGAAAAAAATATTTTGTCAGGGAAATGTGAGGAAAAAAATTTTTTGTCAGTAAAGTCAGGGAAATGTCTTGAAAAATTTTTTTGTCAGGGCAATTAAAGAAGAAGGGAAATGTCAGGAAAAAAAATTTTTTGGCAGTAAAGTCACACTGAAAAAAAAATTCGGCAGAATGTGCTTTTTACTCAGGCAATTTTTGCCTAAGAACAAAAGCAATACACGTAAAGCAATTGTTTCTTTTAAAAAAAGGCAATTTTTGCTTTTAAAAAAGGCAAAAATTTTAACTAAGGCAATTTTTACCTTTTTTAAAGGGAAAAATTGCCTTTTTTAAAAGAAACAATTGCTTTACGTGTATTGCTTTTGTTCTTAGGCAAAAATTGCCTGAGTAAAAAGCACATTCTACCGAATTTTTTTTTCAGTGCAGGGAAATGTCAGAAAAAATTTTTTTTTAAGAGCAATTAAAGAAATTAAGACGGTCATGCAATACATTTTTTTCTCTAGACAAAAAAATTTTTGTCAGGGAAATTCGTTGTTATGTCAGTAAAATGTCAGGGAAATTAATAAAGTCAATCTTGCGGCCACCCTGTTATTCTGTTTATAACATGAAAATTTTATTATTATATGAACGAGTTTTTACCGGGCAGCTTACTTGTGTGACGTGAAGAAAAGTAAGCTTCTGACTAGAGTGGGTGCAGTGAGAGTGAGAGAGACAGTTGACCTCCCCACTCAAGCCCTCAAGTCGGTTCTACAATGGACGCGTTCGTATGGAACGTGAACGCGACGTGCTGACGTGCCCATTGTAGAACCGACTTGAATAGGGCAGTCATCGATTCGCTCCCGTGAGGGGAAGTGGCATTCTCCCACCATGCGGCCAGGGGCCTGAGCTCGGGGTTCGGAGCGAACGTAGCACAGCGGGGCGCCTGGTTCCTTAATCCCTCATTAAGTCATCCTTCCTTAATGACAGTGTTTAAAAAATATAAATTTCTCAAACATAAACATTTTAAAGTTTTTTTTATTAAATTCAGATCCCTTATTTTATTACGAATCCATACATATGTTGTTTGCCTTAAAAATGTTAATATTTAAAAAAACTTTTAATTTATTATGAACTGACACTCAAATAAATTCATAGTAAATTTGACTTTCAAGTAAATATATATTTTCTCTGGCTGTATAATCTACTTTTTACTTCAGTTGAATTCTGAAAAAACTTAAGAATTACAATCAGTCAGTTAATAATAAATTTTAAACTTTTTAAATACTAAAATTTTTAAGGCAAACTACATATGTATGGATTCGTAATAAAACAAGGAATCTGAATTGAATAAAAAAAATTGAAAAATGTTTATATTTGAGAAATTTATATTTTTTAAACACTGTCATTAAGGAAGGATGGCTTAATGAGGGATTAAGGGACCGGGCGCCCCGCTGTGCTACGTTCGCTCCGAACCCCGAAGTCAGGTACAAGGCCGCATGGTGGGGGAAGGCCCCTTCCCCTCACGGGAGCAAATTGATAATCGCCCCTTGAATAGCATGGGTGACGTCAGCACGGCACGTCAGACGTCCACGACCGACGTGCCCATTGTAGAACCGACTTCAGGACTACTCTACGCCACACAGGTAAGCCACCCGGTGAAAACTCGAATATCACAAAAATGAATAGTTTTAGTTTTCAGATAATTAAAAATATATCATAAATGACTTGAAAACTTTCCTAAACGTAACCCATAATTTTGTTGTTGCATTAGACAAGTTTGCCTCAACATTACATGGGAACAGGGCGACAGAATTGCTTGGAAATATTACCATGCAATACTGAAATAATATTGAACTGAAATTGTATAAGGAGAAAAATACACTACTCTCAGCAGTTCCACATGAAGGCAAAATCGCAAGGACACTATGACAGTTCAGCCCCCACCATTCTATCTAACACTTATGTCGCCTTCCCCTTGTGACGTAACAAGAGGAGAGTACATTGAGTAGATAGGATGGTAGGGGGTACAACGATCGTAGCGACTCTGCCTTTTTAACCTATCAATTGCGACTGAAAGGATAAAGTGGCTTATTTTTATTTAAACGAATTTCCATAATACAACATTTTATGTGACAGAATTTACATTACGATGAATATTAATTTATAGAAATTTTTATTGAACAAAATTTATTAAAACGCATTTTTAGTAGACATAAAAAATTAGAATGAATTCTTTTTTACTCTAAAGTTTTATTTATCCGAAACCTTATTTAATAAAAATTCATTTTGAGCTATTATCTATATTACACACTAGAAAAAATGATAATGTCAATATTGACACACAAGTATGGTTAGGATGCATAGCTGAAACAGCAATACTGTATTGCTGTTCTTAAAATACTGTATTGGTGTTCCCCACATACTTATTACTGTCTCTCAAATACATATAACTGTTCTACACTGCGTATGGCGGAAACAGCAATACTGCACGGAGAAAGAATATATATTAAATTTTGTTAATGTATTTTACAAATTGGGGAAAAAGTGCGACAAAGTGAAATTTTGGTATAAAAAATATTAAATTTTAAATAAACTTATATGAAATTTAGTATAATTATGTCAAATATCAAGAATATTTATTAAATTCTAATATAATTTTACTAAATTTGACATAAGTTCTTTTAAAATTTAATATTTTTTATACCAAAATTTCACTTTGTCGCACTTTTTCCCAATTTGTAAAATACTTTTACAAAATTTAATATATATTCTCTCTCTCCGTGTGAATGGCAGTTCCATATCCACCAATATAATATATGAAAATTGGCTATATTTATGGCAGTACCATAAATATATTTTTTCAGTGCATAAATTTTACTTTACTAGATTTTAATTGAACATAAGTCCTACTTAATACAATTTCTATTTTGCGTAATTTTCATAGTTTAGAAATTACATTTAAAAGAATTTTTTGACCGAATTGAGGCTTCGGATCGAAGAACACGATCGCCGCTCGGTTGGAAGGGATCATACTACTCAGGTAGCAGTGAGTGGCCCAAAGGCGCTCAATAGAGGTGTGCATTTAATCGACTCGAT